CATTGGAAGTGCTTCATATCGCCAAAGAAGTATTACAGTCTTAATTATTTTGGAGGCACCGACCGAGATCAAATAATCGTGCGTATTTTTATTTTATTAGTTCATCAATGAACGTAATATTAGTGATAACAGATTATTACTTCCTGTTGATATTAAATTGCCTTATTTTATTAGTTCATCACTGAACGTAACTTCCTGTTGATATTGAATTGCTTTATTTTATTAGTTCATCACTGAACGTAACTTCCTGTTGATATTGAATTGCTTTATTTTATTAGTTCATCACTGAACGTAACTTCCTGTTAATGTTAAATTGCCTTATTTTATTAGTTCACTTGAACGTGTACTTAGTGATACTATTTTAATGCCGTTTCTACTAGAGCTGAAAGGAAAAGAAAAATAGTTGAAGAGTAGATCTTGAAACCGATGAAGGAAAAAATTAAAGCATCCAGAGATATCTTTGAAGAAGAAGTTAAATCACTGGAATTAAACGTGGAAGAGTTTCACGAAAATTTGAAAAACGATAAAGAAATTATTATTGAGAATCATTTTGCAATGCAACGTTATCATCATCTTTCGGCTTTCGATTTAATATCAAAGCCGCTACTAATACACGAAGAAAACAATTGTCGAAAGCAAATGAAAATTGAATATTATCCGAAAGGCACAAATGAACTGAGGAAAGGCTTTGTAGTGAATTATAGCCGAGGAACTGATCCAACATGGAAGAGATCTAGGCACCGTCAAGAAAAAAAAGGAAGACTAATTTGAACTGTCCAATTTCTTCCTATTTAAATGTGGTGTAAAAGTATTTGTTTAAAACTTTAAATTTTTGACCTGAAATTTGTAACTTTATAAGAGAATTTACATTTACTCTTTAAGCAATTCAGCAAGCCGAGCTTATAAACTTTCGAATTTTTACAGAACTTTTCCCTTCGGTAAAAGTCTCTCCGTTGGGGGAGAGGTTGTAAGAGCTTTAAATATTATTAAAATCTTGTAGTTTCAAATAAATAATTTAATTAGATGAACATTAAGGTATTTGTGAATGGCAATATTTGAAACCAGACTCGAGTGCCTCGCGCGACTCTCGCACGAAGAATGTAAATTATTTTTAAATGATAGAATATGTTTTCTCTTTTTGTTTGTATGTCGCCATTTTTGAGTGTTAAATAAAAGTTATTGCTGTGTTCCATCATTGGAAATGCTTCATATCGCCTAAGAAGTATTACACCTCTTTCAACAAACAATATCTTTTTCACAGCTCTATTTGATAGCGAGTAAATCCGATTGCATTCGGTCGCTCTCTATAGCAAAATTCTTTATTTTAGAAAAAAAATTAGAAATTCATTCTACAGTTTATAAAATAGATACTAATGGAAGCAAAAATAGCTGCTTATAGAAGCATATATTACAGGTTCTTAACAGCTTCATAATTATCCCTAAAGAAAAAAACTCAGTGTTCGCTTTATCTAGTCTTGTTAACACCAAAAGACAGCACTGAAATAATTTAACAAAATATGTAATATTCATTTACTCTTTAAGAAAATCCCTTTCGCTGTAAACAGCAATAGATCAAAGAGTTTGTTCTTTCGATAAATGTAAATTCTGTAATGCAAACTCTAATTAAAAATTCCCTTTTTTTATGTAACATTCTAAGGAATTTTCGCCTAACATACTGCATGCTGTAGTGGCTTAACTAGGCAGTACAACCGGTTAATAATCGGAAGATCTGAAGTTCGAACCGCGGTGAGGGCATAGCTGATTTTCTCCTACGTCTCGTTTCAGAAGTTCTAAATAGCTCTGCAGCATCTGTCGTCTAAAAATGTGATGAGTGATAATTCGTCATCTGAGTCTCGTTCCTCTTTCTCTAGTCACCCTTTTAGTGTGGGCAATATAGGGAGGCTTCGAAGGACCTGTTAGCTATACAGTGTAAGATACTCAACATGCTTCAGGAAGTAAGATTAAGTTAATCAGTCAAAGTTTGCGATTTTTTTAAATCATCCTCAGAAAATATCTTTTAAAAAAGTTCTTATTTCACATAATTTTCTTTTATTTTTTCTTCCCCCCTTCTCTCTATAAGTAAATGATCAAATCTTTCTTCCAAGATGAAAATCTTTATGTTTCATTCTTTTTAAACACAGCTTTAGAAATATTACCCTCAAAACGAAAAATTAAAAGTACATGGGTTGTATTCAAAACTTCTTTGGTGGTGTATTGAGAATACGGCAAAGCACACTAGGGCTATCTGCCTAAGGGAAGTGATGCCTTCGTGGAGGGCTTTCTAAGGGAAACTGGCTCGTATACACGTTACACATGAGGAAAACCACGAAAACGCCCATGCAGCCAGCCCGTTCGCGGGATTCCAATCTCGGACCGAACTACCAGTGTTCAGCGATTTTACCGCTCGGCCGCTGGTGGAGCGTCCAAACTTCTTTGAAATAGTATTAATCAAGTATGAATTTACAAGTAAACAGTTCAGATTTTATTATGAGTTTTCAAACTTTTCATTGACATTATTATCGATCATGAGTTAAATTTCATGTTGTTGTTATAGATGTTTCAATGGATCTCATAATCGCATACTATTAAAGACCGCCACCGTAAACAATTCCACATAGGAAAAGATTTCACTCCATCTTACATCAATACCTTTAAATGACGCTTTCTACAAATATATTACTCAGAAAATCATTCCAGACATTTATACACAATCATAATATTCCACACATTTATATTATTTTTTATCACTTTCAATTACCCTAGGTTACCTGGGTTTTAATGAAATTTCAAATTATGCTAAACATGGAATGTTTCCTTCAGAAGATGCTTAATACGTCATTTTCTATTTCATAAAATACTTAAGTTATTTCAGCTACTCTAATCAATGCAGAAAAATTATTTGGATTTTTCATAATATTTATCCTTTTTAAGGATTTAATTAATTTATCAGATAGAAAAATTGTATTGTAATATGGCAAAGATAGTAAATTTTTAAAAGTTAGGAAGGGAATTTTCACTAATGAGAGAAATAATGTATACAGTATAAAACAACTTAAAATATTAAGTCTGTTTTCGTGAAGATAATCAGACTTCTTTATAGCGTGATCTTAATATTCTACGGAACTAGTAACACCGAAAGTAGAAAATGGTTTAAAATTAAACTTTTTCACTGGCTCTTCAGCCGAATAAAATACACAACAAATTTCTTCAAACTAAGTATTTTTCCTTTCCCTTCGGAATTTTTACTTACTTGCTATTAGTTCCGAATCTCTTCATACGAAATTGACAAGATATTGACCGTTGGATTTATTACACAATGAACAATTTTTCTCACATTTTTTAAAAATAGAAGTTTATTCGGTTATACAAATTATTACAACGGGTTACCCGAATTTTATTACCCGTAGTATTTAGTATTTTGCTAACTGCTTAAATGCATTTTTCAATACTCATATATGCCCGAATATTAAAACAAATGTCACATATAGTTTCAAAACTCTAAATAATACAATAATTGACTAATTTATAAGCTACCTAAAGCATGAGCTAAAATTTTGAAGTATTGAAAAAAAAAAAAATTAAAGGCTGAAAAAAAAACGTGTCTTATTCAAAGATATGTGCGATCTAAATATTTAGACTATTTCGTATGGAGATTTTCAGATAAATTAAGAAGTTTAAGGATATCCTTGTCCATATGTTTTTAATACTATACTTAGAAACTGCTAATTATTTATCCAAATACGTACATTCTCATAAAGTAATATAATACCAATAAATATAATTCCGCAATTAATATAGCATCAATCTATTAATTTAAAATTCTATTTAAATGCTTTATTACTAGTCTGCTTAATATCGTATTAGTCTGCCAACGGTTAATAAAACATTTTCTTTTGAAAAAAATCGTATTTTAATGCTTTTTATTAATAGACATTGTATTTGCTACTTACATAAATTGTTTTCTAATGAAATAGCTATAGCATTTTCCATTAAAATGGTTTTTATTTGAATATATTGTATTGATCATTTCATAAGGCTACATTATAAGGTCTTTCTCCCGCCTTAGCCTTCGTGGTATAGTGGTCTGCACGCTCAGCGCGTAAATGAGAGTTTCGTGGTTGGATTCCCGGTGAAGGCGTTGCATATTTTTCATCTTGCCTGCTTAAAAATACCTAATGTCTCTACAGTGGCGCCCGAACTAAAAGGGTCTTGGATGGTGATCCTCACCCAGGATTTGGCGATTGGGTCCCATAAAAAATTGCCTTTTAAAAAAGCGATTTCTCCCGCCTTTTTAGCGAGCCTTCGTGATGTAGAGGTCTGCACGCTCAGCGCGTAACTGAGAGGTCCGCGGTTCGATTCCCGGCGAAAGCGTTGCATATTTTTCATCGTATCTACTTAAAAAGAATACCTAATGTCTCTACAATATAAGGGAAAGTGTTAATACAGAAAAGTTATAAAGCGAAAGCTTCGGACTACGCTGTAACATCTCAAAAAAAGATTTTTACCATTAAAAATTTCAAAAAAATTTTTAAAATATTAAAAAACGCAACAAAAATATTTTAAAAAAGCATTTTTAAAATTGTTTTAGGATCTATGCAATCAAATCCGCCTTGAACATTTAAACGTATTTTTAAGCTGAACTGTTTCAGTATACCTACTAGTTTAAGACTGTGTCTCTAGATATTTCAGATATAGATAATAAAATCGTATATTTAAAATTACTTTTGGAAAATAAAAATTCCAAGGAGTAGAGGGAACTGCTATATTATTGCATCCTACAGTAACACCAGGTGAAGTTTTTTCACTAAAAAAATATCAACTACACCTTGTCTAAGTAATTCAAGACATTGTTGGGCATTTGTTTTTGCTACACAACAGGAAAAAAAAATTAAATAATTTTCAGCTATAATACCTCAAAAATTATTAATTCAGGTTAAAGTTACTGAAAGTGTTTTCACAAATTTTTGAAAGGCGTGAAAGCAGAACAAAACTTATCTTACCATGAGAGTGATATGTGTATCCATAAATTCACAACACGTCCACACCGACCAAACGTTCAGTACTCCATCTGGAAATAGAAAAGAAAAAAAAAATTGAAACTTGCAGTCGGATCTTTCAGGCTGAAGTCGAACACTTAGACCACACGTAACGCTTATATATAACAAGCATATATATAACAAGAGTAGTTACTGTTCAAATATGGAAATAGCTTTCAATTAATTTTTAACAGACAGTAGTAAAGCGCAGTTTTCAAGCCACAAGTTAGCTTATTTCTGAACCGTCTGATAACTTTCAGGTCAAGTGGCAATATTAATTCCCATAGAATGGTGTATTGCAGACATAATCTTCAATTAAATACTTTATCACTAAAATTCTTTGCTTCATTTAGAATTTTAGTGTTTGTATTTTGTTTTTTAAATAGACGTTTAAATGTTACAAACTACTGGCGCACTCCATGGACCACATGCATGGACATGTGAATATATCTTTCTTTAATAATTTCATTCCATACAAAAGTGAAAAGCCACAGAGTAAAATTTCTTCTTCCCATTCATTCCATATTGAGATTAAATTTATCTCACTGCACTTTATTGAAATAAAGTAAAACCTAGTTCTTAATAAACATCCATCTTTGATAACATTAATAAATTTTATTTGGACTTTCGGAAATAAAAACATATAACTATTCTTTCTTAAACCAACTTACTCGTTTTCGCATCCGCATCCTTAGAACATTCTTATGAAGTTTCCATTCCGGAAAAGCACTGCTCTGTTTTCTTTATTTGTAAAACGCAATTTTTATTTTGTTTTATCGTCTGCTAAAATCAGAAATCATTTTAGTTTTACAATTCACAGAACTGCACAGTTAATATTACGGCTTTGAAAAAATGCTCTTTTCATTTTTCAAATCAAACAGTAAAAAAGACTTTTATGCATATTTTTAATTTGTGATTTTTACTTGCTTGTACAATATAAAGGAAGTATGGTAATCGAAAAAATTTCGGGTACCATATTTTAACAAAATTATCCATTTTGACTGCTTTCTAATCCATTTGAAAGATGTTTTTGTGTAACATCTGTATGTATGGACAGAATAAAGGACTCTTTTTTTCCGAAATTCTGAAATGGATTGTAAAATGAATATAAAATGGATTCAGAAGAGATTTGTTTTCATGACTTATACATATATATCTCGCATAACTCAAAAACGAGTAGCCGTAGAACGTTGAAATTTTGTATATGCGACTGGCTCTAACCAGAATACTAGCTATGGTCTTCAGCTCCCAAGAACAACTGGAAGACTGGAAGATTTCAAGACACTTTCTTGTTTGCTAAGAATGGAAAAAAGTTTCCTCTAAAATTTCTTAGTATCAATTTAGTGCCCCTTGAATGCTGCGCTCGGGAGCAAATATAAACCCTTGCACCTCCCTAATTACGCCTCTGGTTATAACATGTAGTCGAGCGTCTACCCTTTTCGTTGCAATCGGCCACACCAAACGCATGTATAATATACTGCCATTCTGTTACACGGCTCAGTGAGTTCTTTTTTCATTCCTATATGTTTAAAATTGCGCTTTTTATTTTAAAAGTGATTGAATTATGTTGTTCTTACGTTCCGATTAAGGTTTTATGCCTTTAGTTTGTAGAGACATTAGGTATTTTTGGGGGAGCAAGCAAGATGAAAAATATGCAACGCCTTCGTTGGGAATCGAGCGGCGGACCTCCCAATTACGCGCTGAGCATGCAGACCACTACACCACGAAGGCTCGCTAAGAAGGCGGGAGAAATACCTTATAAGCTAATCTCCATGCAATAGTTTTAGAATTATCAACGATTTAAAAGTTTAAGTGGAGTTAAGCCTAACGAGGCCAGCATTTGTTTACATTTAAAACTAATAGAATAGTGAATTAAGGCAGCTGGTGCACCATTTACAGTGTCTTTTTGCTTAGTTTGACCAAAAGTTAACTTTGAATTCCGTGCACCGAAAATTTTGTCTTCATTCCCGCTGGCCGAATTGCTTATTTTTGAATATAAATTCTAATTTTTATTGTAAAAATTGTTTTTTTAACAGTATTTGGTGTTTTAGTGTTCTAACTATATTTGGTGTTGGTGTTTTCTGTAGTTAACAAGTTTAATGAAGATTGAGTTTTTATATATTTTTGCTTTACCGCGAAGTGAGAAGTGAAATGACTGAATTAGAAGTATAGCTCTAACGAAATTCGAGAAAATAAGTTTGAATAAATTGCAGATAAAATTGTGTATAATTTAATGATCCGTACTAGGAAGTTATGTGGTGTCCAGATCAGATATTTTTAAATTATAATATCCTACTTAAAGAAAAAAAATTATAACCCTTTCTTGTTTTCTTTCTTTCAGCAACGTTTTTAAGTTCATATGCCTACATAATAAATCAGATATCTTTGCACTTTACAACATATTTTATTTTTTAAAACTGGTAAAAATTTATAGAAATGGTATGACTGATAAGAAATTTTCCAAATATTAAAAAAATTGTGAAAAGATTTATTAACATAATGACGGTAAAAATAAGATAAGAAATCAAACTGAGGCTAGTAATGTGTTTAATCAGATGACAGACACAGGAACAAATATTTCTAAATGATGTAAAATATCATACAAAATTTTATTATTGAAATATAACATTAATATTTATTATAATAATGAATTATAATAATGAATTAAATCCTCTAAATTAGCATATTAATTAATACTGTAATAACAAATATCTATTAATGTATTTCTAATTAAAAATCTTACGCGCCGTTAGAAAAGAGAAAAGGTGTGCTCGTGTAACCTTTTTCTAGGACAAGTGTTAGTCTCTGCAAAAGGGTTTCGTCGAGCTATATTTATAGTACTGGTTGCCTGAACTAATTCTGCATTAATTCAGACAAAAAAATTTCTTATTAAAAATTTACACTACTTTAATGATGAAGCAACATTATTCTTCAATACAAAATTGTTTATGAAAGTCATAGGTATGGATAATTTAAACTTCATTTACTCAAATTGGTCTTAGAAATGCTGTATCTATTACCCTTTTGTATAAAAAAGCTTCTTTTTTTTCAGGGGGAGGGCGAAATCCTAGCTGAAGAGATGCTTTTAAGGAAGTAAAAGTTCTTTTTTCGAGGACAATTACAAGTCTATTATTATGATAAGCCATTCAAACATCATAAAGTATAGTCCCCATATGAAGTAAAAATACCTGTAGTTGAGGGTGAAAATATTATTGTAGTCATAGTCAAAGATAAATCACCAAGAAAAAACTAAATAGTTCATCGAATCATCCAAGGAATTTTAAAGCAGTTTGGTTTCTTAATGAAACAAGTATTCTAATAGTATTTCTTCAGCCCTTGATGTAAGCATCCAGGAATAGATACTTTTCGAGTATTATATGTAAATATACATGACAGTCCAGTAAAATTGCTACACCAGAAAGACGGTATGTCACACATGTGAAATCTACACAACAGAGAGAACATGCAGTCATGTGCAAATGATTTGTTTTTCAGCGCATTCACGCAGAGCAGGCAGCAATAGCGACACCTACAATATGTAGAAAACCAAAGATTTGACAGCAGTTTTCCTATACTCAGTTTGCATTTGAACGTTGTTTTCGACAAAGAAAATTGTTTCAGTCCCTTATGTAAGAAGAAAGGTCTATCAGCATGTAACTGCAATATTGCTGCTCCTGTTGGTTGAGATCTAATTACTATCCACAGAATATGGAATCGATTACTTCAGGACTGTCATACGGAACGTTGTACAAAATTTAGCGGCTCCCCATCAATAACAGCCAACAAGGCAAACATCTTATCCGCATGGCCACAAGAGATCGTACTACTATATCACGAACCCTAAGTTGAAAAATGGAGTCGTATGCTAGACAACATGTTTCTGCTCAAACAGCTCAACGACATTTGCAGCAACATGAACTGTCATCAAGGTGACCGTGGTTTCGGTACCCTTGACGCTCCGTCACAAATAGGAGTGTCTTCATTGGTGTAATCGATGACGTGCCTGGACGCAAAACTGGAGTCACGTCATCTTTACAGACGATCTCCGTTCTTTATACGACACTACTGTGGCCATAACCGTTTTGGGAAGCATCGTGGAGACGCACATTGCCAGCTTGCATTGAAAATCGTCATACAGGCCCATCAGCTAGATGATGTTATAGGGTGCGACTGGATACACGTCTCAATCATTTGTCATTGGCATTTCCGGAACAGCAACAGTTATATTCCTGACGTGTTAAGGCTTTTGGTTCTACATTGTCTTCGACACTTTCTAACGCTTTGTTTCAGCAGAAAAATGCACAACCGCATGTTGCCCGTACTGTCCTGACCTTCCTCAGTACAGAAGATGTTCGAGTAGCACTTTGTTCTGATTTGTCACCAATTAAAGATGTGAGGTCAGTGATTGCTGAGCATTTGGCACGCCAAAACTGACCATCCACTACTGTAGATGAACTGCGTCATAGTGTTGTAGTTGCATGGCCTGCGGTATCCGTACATGCAATACAATCTCTGACCCTGGCGGATAAATGCTGTTATTACTGCCAGAGGTGGCTGTCTGAGTATTGATTTCTCAGGATCTATGCGTTTGAATTTCCTGTAAATGTAATCACTTGTTCTTTCCAATATAATGTATGCATCCAATAAATATCATTTTGTTATCTGTATTTCTTCTGATGTAGGTATTTTAACTGCCAATAGTGTAAATTGACTAACTAGGCGGCAGATGAGTGGTTACACTAAACCACTGAACACTGATAGTTCGACCGAGGCTAGAATCTCGGCGAACAGCTGGCTGCATGTGCATTTTCGTGGCTTTCCTCATGTATAACTTGGATACGAGCCGGTTGTCCTTAAAGTCTTCCATGAAGGCATCCTTTTCCTTCCGCCGATAGCCCTCGTGTGCTTTGTTATCTTCAACTAACCAAACCAGCCATCTAAAGGCATAACAAAATTTTTTACCTAATCTAAAGAGTTTGTCATTATTAAGAAAACCACGAATGGGTTTTACCAGTTGTTATTTTTTATGAAA